GTAGTAGTAGTAGTAGTAGTAGTAGTGGTAGTCGTGGTGGTAGTAGTAGTAGTAGTAGTAGTGGTAGTAGTAGTAGTAGTAGTCGTAGTAGTAGTAGTAGTAGTAGTAGTTGTTGTTGTTATCGGCGGCAAGTGTTTTGTACAAGTAGGAGTAGGCGTAGGACACGAGTATATAGTAGGTTATTAGTAGGAGTATACGAGCAGGACGAGTACAGTAGGACTAGAAGTTGCAAACGTCGTCGCCGTCGTCGTGGTACTTGTGGAGGAACAGCAGCAGCAGGAGAAGTTGCTGTCGTCGTTGCGGTTATGCTTGGGGTGGTGGTGTTTCCTTGTCGTTTCAGCAGCCAAAGAGTGAAAGCTGTGCATGCAGAGATGGGTATTGTTGGTGGTGGTCATCGTCGTCTTCGCCGACGTAGAAACAACACCAGCAGCACGAGGTGCGGAACGGACTGATTGCTAGTCTGCTTGTGCTCGCCTGAGTTTCGACAAAATCTTGAAGCTCATTGCTCAAATGCGCAGACCGGATGTGCAGATAGAAGCCTCCAAGCCCGACATTAGAATCTGCTGAGAGCCCCACTGTTACTCTTGAAGTTCTCATAAAACTTCCGCATGTTGGAGGCCTCGATGGTCAGGTCCACCTCTCCACAGTTGGTCTGACCGGTTCAAGGTCCAAGGGCTTCGGGAGTTAGATTTGATGGATTACGATCTTGAAGGGCATGCATGCGGTCTCAGGGTTTTGGGATAAGGTTTTGGTTGTTGTGAGTTTAGCACATCGACGCCAGCCGTGACTGAGACTACGAGCCGTTCTTTTTGAACACAGCGGGGCATGAACGAGCTGTTGTTTGCCAACAGGCGAGCAATGAGAGTCGGACTGCCCAAAAAGCTCCGGGCCTGTCAAGTCTCAGTTGCTGTAGTTCCTTAAGATTTCCCTAGACCCCGCAACTTCAGATTCCAGACTGCGGGGAACCCTGACGGAAACTCTACGTTGCGATTCTTGTGCATAGCGTGTGGTGCAATTCGAAAGCTTCCAAAAATCAACTCGTGGACCATCAATCCACAGCCTGCTGCATCATGTAGTGGCCGAAATTGTCTACAGCTTCTTCCAATGCCATCCAGGTCAAGTCTGGTTTCCACCCTGGGCTTTGAGTTTGCGGCATGTACAAGGGACATCAGGTATTACTATCTCATCAGAGCAGCATTAACGCTTCACGTTGCGATGATGATCGAAAGTACACTGCCTGTTGCTACTCCCAACATGGCTACAAAAAGTATACATATATGCATGCATGCATGCATGCATGCGTGCATACGTGTAGGTACATAGACTACATGGATCCATAGATGCAAGGATTTACAAGGATACATATAATGACATAGATACATAGACAAAGAGGTACATATACATACATACATACATACATACATACATACATACATACATACATACATACATACATACATACATACATAAAATTTTGGCACTCGCACTCGACAGGCATACATGCATGCATGCATACATACATACATTACTTGCATGCATGCATGCATGCATGCATGCATGCATACACACGTACATACATACGTTCATGCCTAAATACGCACGCGCAAACATATTACATACATGCGTACATACATGCGTACATACATACATACATACATACATACATACATACATACATACATACATACATACATTACATACATACATACATACATACCTGCATACATACATGCACAGATGGCTCATGTGTATATCTGCAGTGGGCATATGGATATACGTT